ATATATTCCAGTCCCATGGAGCCTATGGCATTGTTCGTTCTGATGCTTTCGATGTTTTTCGAAGCAGCTTGGCCACGCCACCGGCCTCCGGCACCTCGAAGACCTTCCGCGCTTCGAGCCCCGCGTGCTCGTTGCCTTGGGGGACACGTCGCGTGAACGCGCGGAGGCGAGTCTGCGCAGCCTTCGTGTCCGGTGGCGCGTCGTGCGACACGAGACCGACGTGGACACGCCGTGCCACGAACGAGTGACGAGTGGAGCAGCTGTGTCGGTCTGATGGATTGAAAAGGGCTGGATTGAAGTCATCCGAGTCTGCGCAGTACCATGACATCCAGGTACCAAGAGGGCATGTCTGGGAGTGTAGCTGCTCTAGTCCGCCAGGCATGCTGAAGCATCCCTGGAAGCTTGTCAACAGCATAAGAAGCTGTTCCCCCAAACAAAAGATTTTTTTTAAAAAAAAAATATTAATAATAAACACACCCAACATGATTCGTATATGACCCCAATTTACCCCAACACAAGCTTGGCGTTGGACAACCGTGGGAACAACCATGCTTGGGCGCTTGGCGTTTGGACGAAAATACCGGTCGACCTTTGTGCCGCCCGGTCCTACTTCGTGATGCATGATCAGATTCGCTCAAACCAACCTCCGCCCAAATGAATCGCCCCCTCCAGTTGCACCTTGCCCCAGAAAAACCAGCTGTCACTCCCGCCTTCTCTGTTACCCTCTAGCCCAGCAGCGTTTGGGCACTGGGAACTCCTCATTTGAGTCGCCGAAAGCAGCGAGAGACTGTCAAGCAATGTCAAGCAGGTTTTTTGAAGTAAGGATGATATTTTTGGGTGGGGGCACCAATTCTAGCTTTTCATATGTTTAACTGACTGACTGTCAAATATATATAGAGTCTAGAGGGATCTTTGCTTCCTCTTTGGATCAAGCCAGTGCGAAACGCATCCCCGGTGCACTACACCGTAGCCAGCAAATCTTTGGGTTCTATGGAAACGTCGCCAGCCAACCCACCCGAGTATCATCGGGTCGGCGAATTGGGATATCGGGTCGATTTCCCTTTGAGACCTCCCATGACGGCCCGTCTGAATGTGTTATGTTAACATATTCTCCCATTGTTCTAAAGAACCTTCTCATGTTGACGGCACTTCGTCCCATGTTCGTGCACGGTATGTGTCCTGTTTCTCAATCTCCGCACCATAGATCCGCAGGATCCGGAGTCCTCGGAGGTGGGGCAGAAGACGCAAGACGCAGAGGTCGTTGGGGATAGACGGGAGGTCGTTGGATGAGAGGACGAAGCAGGGCTGGGTTAGTTCTACGCGTGGAAGATGTCAGGAAAAAAACATGGAACTTTACAAATGGATTCACTCCTGGATTCAGATCAAGACCCATTAATTGCGATAATCATTTAGGTGGGTGTCCATGGCTTTGGGTGACCGAAATCTTTCTCAAGGTCTCAAACTTCAGGCGGTGGGTCTAAAATCTATCTCTAGCCTACTCAAAACTGTTAGTAACTATGGTTCATTACTGCCATTACCATATTATTTCGCGGAGACCATGCAGTCTCTGAAAAGTAAGCGAATGAGTAGGATGATTGGAGACCAGGGCAGGACACGTGGATCAAAATAAGTGAGTGGCCACACACACACACACACACACTCATATCTCGTGACTGAAAGACAAGCTGGGCAGAATGGAGATGGATTGATTCGGTAGCCCATAACTCAGGCGAGAGAACGAACGAGCACCCAGAAGGCTTAGAGCGGCTGTCAGTGGAACTTGTGTGATTTTGAACGTGGGTGCATCTCTGTGCGTGTGTCTAAAGCAGGGACACCCCAACCTCTGGAATGTGCATCTGCTACTTCCTTTTATAATGGTGTCCATTGCGCCGTTCATCTGGGACATCCTCCCGCCCGTCCCCCCACAAAATGGTCAGTCCTACTCAATCTCCCGGTCTCCTCGCGCTTGAAGAAAAAAACACCGCGGAACCCTCCGAACACACTGGTCTCCCCTCCTCTCCGCACCGTTGACCCCCCCGGTTTGCTTCAACCGGAGCGGCCGGTCTCGATGTGCTTCACCCGGCGTCGGCAGATGGGGCAACGGCTGCCCAGCTCCAAGGCCTTGCAACGGGCTACCGCGGTCGAGGTGAGGTCCAGGTGCAGGTGATGAAAGCAGCTATTTGAGGAAGGAACGCCGGTGTGATATTCTGATATCATTTAGGACTGTGAAAAAATGGACTTGATTGAACTTGCATTTAACTGTCAACAGCTTCGTGAAGTGCAGTGTTGCTATATACTTTATAGAGAGAGAGAGAGTATACTATATACCATATACTCCAAGTAACTGGATGAATAGTCTCCGATACCCTATCCAGCTACAAACTTTGTTCTTACCTTCAGTTGATGGGACTTCGTGTACTTCAAGCACCCCAGGTGCCCCCCCCCCAAGCCGATTGATTGTTGGGGTGAGATCATGGGATCAGTTAGTCAGGACGACGTCCGGTACACTGACGTCCTTATTATTGAGTCAGATTGTTTCCTTCGGTATGCCGCAGTCCAAAACCCTGGAAGAAGACGCCTGACAAAGGCCTGTGTTCGTGTAATTGGATCTTCAAGCCAAACCCATCTGCTTCCCAGATTGTCAAAGACAAAAAGACTGGATGCAACGTGCAGAGGTCCTGGCCCCAGCGCGCAGCTGCTGCAGGGAATGTCAAAGAGAACGGACCAAGAACGAATTTTCCGAAAGGCCTTCAAAAATCTTCGCTCACCCATCTTTGACAAACACCAAAAAACACAAAAAACACCATTATAAGGATCCTTGGATCCTTCACAAACACTCCCAGAATCCGGCCGATGTTCGCATCGAACAGCCCCAGACATAACATGCCGCTTCCGCTTCCCCGCGCAGACATCCCTCGCCTGCGCCAGGCAGCTCTGGTGGAAGGGGTGGCCACACAAGGTGATGGTGTTCGGCTTGCCGCCGAGGCACACCGCCTCGGTCGTCCGTCGTGTGGCATCGGTCCGACGCGACGCCCAGCGAGCGAACGACATGAGCGTACACCGTTTCAGCGAAATGACCCGCTCGGATGCGGATGTTCGCGATGTTTCTTGATGTGCGCGAAAACCGTTTCAGCTTTCAGCCGCGGAAGGCAGGTTGGCATTGTGGCTGTTCTCCACCAGATGATTCTATACCATCTTCTACCACTTTCTACACTCAAAATACTCAAACACAATGCAGGAAGCTTCAAATATCCAATCTTCACCTCCTTGCAGCCGTAAACCTGCTGACACACAAGATCCCACATTCCTAATAGCGATGGCCTCCAACCTAGAAGCAATGGCCTCCAACTTAATAGCGATGGCCTCCAACCTACTAGCAATGGCCTCCAACCTCTAGCGATGGCCTCAAGCCTCTTAGAAAACCCAAACAAACTCTGCTGCCATCACCCTCATCCTCCGCCCACGTCCTCTCCGCCCGGTGGCGCACTGCGTGCCCTCGGCGCTCCGCGCTTCCAAGCGCCGCTCCGCGTACCTGACCACGTGGACGAGCGAGGTGTCGTTCAGAGACCACAGCCCGCCCGCCCAGAGAAACATAGGAGGATCGAAGAAGATACCAAAAATGATTGTTTTTCCGAAAATCCTCTTCGAAAAAATGAAATGTTACCTGAGGGTCTTACTGAAAATCTTAAAATGAAATGTTGATAGATTCATAGATTGTTTTCCGATAAAAAACAACAAATGATTGACATGGAAAGGCCTCTCTCAGAATAAAGGTAGACCAGAAGATCACTGGACGGATCGCTGAGAAAGAACCGGAAAGTGTGATAAGCTATTTGGGGAAGATGCGATGCTTCAAACACGGGGCTCACAAGCTAGTAGTAACAAAGGGCATCGCTACTAGGAGCAAGGACGCTACTAGTAGCTCCTGGCATCGCTACTAGCAACAAGAATCTACTAGCAACAAAGGGCATCGCCCTTGCTACTACTAGCGATGCCCTTGTTGCCAGTAGCTTCTTGTTCCTAGTAGATCCTAGTAGTAAGGCCAGGAGCTACGTTCGCAGCGTCCTTTCCTTGCTACATGGACCGCGGGTATTGATGCTAAGTCGCAGATGGTCTTGATCTCCTCTTCTTCTTGGCATTTGAGGGATCCACAAGAGTCCGTGGATATCGTTGCTGTAGGCTGTAGGCTGCTGTTCCTCCATGCTTTGAGAATTTCAACTGGCGGCCTAGGCTGGACTCGGTGCATTTTGAAAAAGAGTTATGACCACAACCTGTGAGATCTATCACACGGCCACAAAACAAAATGTGATCATACCTAGATCTTCCGACCATGGAAAATGTATGCCTTTGGGCTGGTTTTCTAGATGAAAAGGCATAAAATTTGCATAGTCGGAAGATCTAGGTATGTGATAACGTATCAGAACAAATGTACGTAAGCAGTCAGAAAAGTACTTTGTGATAAATCATGTGCATCCGCTCCATTCATCATCCACACACACACGGACCTTGCCTCCTGCACACGCGCGCGACGAAGGAGGCAGCACAGTCGGCAGCACGGTTCGTCGGCGTACACAGGAGCACCTGAATGCAGTGCCAACAGCAGTGGCCGCGGGTGACCATCACCGCGGAAGTTCTGGTGGCGTGGACGAGGACATGGTGCAAATGAAGGAAGGTTTCACCACATTCTGGTGTCCCGTATAGGACACTGGGTCGGGTGGCCAGAAGGCATAATGAGGCTTTTCATGCTGGAAAAAGGCATATGATGCTAAACTTGCTGAACACTGAACATGCCTTAAACACGATGAACTCACACACTCAGAGTCGGCTCGCCTGACCAACGAGGCGACCGGAAATCTGCGGTCACCTCTCTTCAGAGGTTTGCATGGATAGCATGCGATACGGGGCGGAGACGGCAGAGAGGAGTCCTTCGGGGCCTCTTTGCACAAAACTGAACGAGAACGTTTTCGCTGCCAGGGGCCTTTGTGGTTTTGTTGAGGCTGGGTGGTTCAACCTAACAGGTCAACGGTTCGGTATCCGGGTTATGACCAGTTCAGCCAGTTAAAAGTTGATAGTGCTCCCTCCAGTGCTGGCAAGGGTAATTGCTTCAGCCAGCTGGGTGCAAATGCTTTGGAGCCAGGGAGTATTCCAAGTGAATGTTGGAGGTCCATTCCTGCTTGGATGAGGTGTTCTATGGTTGTTGTCTCGACAGGCCCAGGTGGCAGTGGAGTAGCCTTCCACAAACCTGGGGTGTCTGGTTGGCCCTCCAGCAAGGTCGAAAGCGCTGGTGGCTGTACCCACCACAAGGTCCGCCAAAGGAGGCAGTTACCAGAAGTGATTTCACATTTGTCACCCAAGCATCGGCATAAGAAATCCTTCAGCAGCCGGGCGATGTGGTTTTTGTGCCCGCTCTATGGTGGCATGCAACCTACGATGAAGAGCCAGGACAAATTTGTGCTGTAACTTGCGATCACTGGCCTCAGAAAGCCGTCGCTTTTTATAACTAACTAATCTCTTCTCCCCTGCTTTGAGGCGTTGGCAAATAGTATGACCAGACATTCGTTGTGGTCGCAGGGTAAGCTCTGCACTCTCACAGGGTCATCTGGAGCTCTACTGACGATCTTTTTTTCTGGTGCTTGCGTTGCCTCCGAGTGGATCAAACCCCGAAACACCAAATAGATCCGGAGATCAATCACGCTCCCGAAAAGCCTGCTCGCTGCATTGTGTGTGTGTGATTTAAATTGGACATCTCTTGATCTACTGATCCGCTTCGCCAGCCTGAAAACATCAGCTATATAGGAATCCCCAAACAGAATGCACTAGTGCTTGATGCAAAAACAAAGCTTCCACAGTGGTCGACGGTGGGAATGACCACACGGAACCGCATCGAAAGCAACGGCAAAGAACATAGCTTTTTGAGGTGGAACGCAACAAGGACTCCCCCGCTGCGCAACACACGACTGCGCAACAGAGAAGCGTGATCGATGGTGACCCCAAACGCGACCCAAAACGCCCTCCAAGGCGCTGCCCGGTTCTCGCCTACAGCGACGAGGGCGTTCAAGGGCTGAAGTCCAGGTGGAAGAAGGAAGATTCATATTCATTTCATAATAGAAATGGCCTCCAACCTAGTAGCAATGGCTCCACCGAGGTGAAACCCAGGTGGAAGAAAAAGTGATCCCAAAGAATAAAGCGATGACTTGGATTGTGCTGTCCAGCAATTGGGCCCTCAGTTTCGAGGAGAGGATTCGCCCAACCAGGAAAACAGAAGTCTTCCGATCGCCCAACTGGGAATCATGGGGTCAGCGACAGGTACCATTTACCAATTCATTGTACACTTGGGGGTATCCCCTCTATTAACCAACCAAGCAAACAACGAACCAATAGTGCTAGTGTATATGGACTCAACTGCAACTGTGAAAGCGCGCACCTTTGGACACACTTCAAAGTCGATGATGTGATCGGGATGAGAGGGCAACGGTCCAAGGAATGGGAGACACGATGTGCTGAGACCAATGAAACGGGTGCATCAGATAAGGCATCGGCCAAGCAGATCAATGGCAAATCACGGCAAACACCTTCAAAATTGATATTGCCGATAACTCTGTGTTCTAACAATAACTTACTGTATAGATTGAAACTCAGCAACTTTGACCAAGCATATGGAGCTAGCTAGTATTGGTATAATAAGTCTTCCTACAAAAACGAACCGAAAATCCTCCACATCCATCACTCCGCCAACCAAACCCAGATCGGGCCTGAGCTCATGTTCTGCCAGGCGAAGCAGGTGGCTAAGACTGCCGTGGTCATCGTCTTTCCAGTGCCCGGCGGGCCCTGCGTGAGTTCGCGGAAGGACGAGCAGCGCCGTCCTTTCTCCGCCAGCTACTTCTGACCACCCACCCCCTGTCGCTACCTAACGCTATAGCCCTTCTGGCCATCCGCCATCCCGGCTCCGCGCCAACCTCCGCAAACCGTCCGAAAACCGATGCACGGACCTGAAAGCCATACCCCCCCCATACCACCCAGAGCCCCACGTGCCCTACACCGCGCCTGGACTTGTGCCAAGGGATGCCGCAACGCATAGTGCACGGCACGCCGCCTCGGCACCGGAGGTCAGGCTTCGGGCGGTGCCCTCGTGCTCGGACCGAACCGTGCTCGGGACCAGGTCCGTAACGGTGGACGAAAAGGACCCCTGCCGGCCAGGGCGATGGCGAGCTGCAGTTAGTCACGAACTTGGTTTTTCGTTCCGCTTCCAAAAAAAAGGCCAAAGGCGGCCCAAGTCGTTGTTGCGTGGGAGAAAGTGGCTGTTTCCATACCATGACGGTTGCAGGAAGTGCTTCAAGGCCAAAAAAAATGGCCGTTCGAGCGAACATGCACGGCATACCGAAGACAAATTTGTGTATGGGTTCGACTAGAACATACTAGAACCGTATGATATGTCATTGATTTCCTCGCCATTAAACCAATTAGAAAACAACTGATGCATGTGATTGAAGAAATATCCAGGAATGGCTTTCTCTATTACCCCACCCTCCCTTTTTTCCTCACAACCAGCCGTTTCCCTCTTTAAAATTAGGACTTGTTCGGATGCAGGACCAAAAAATGATTAACACCTGTTCTCCCGGAGCCCCTTTTGAGATCGATACTTTGCGAGGTCAGGCTGCCTTTAATGGGAATGCTAGTAGTAACAAGTGCATCGCTACTAGTAACAAGTGCCTTACTAGTAGTAACAAGAAGCTATTAATTTAATCTAAATGTTGCAATGAGTGCTACAATGCACGAAGGTCTGTCAGAAATGTTTGAGCAAGGTGAAGCGAGTGACAAGTCACGGTCCATGTCACGGATCAAGTGGCAAATAAGCTTATTATATAGTTGCATGACTGTACAGCATGGTGCTTGGCTGGAAAAGTGATTGAAGTTCTTGAAGCTTTTCACAGCACATGAGGAATTCGAGACCTCAAATAGGTGCACCATGGTGCACCCTCTGAAATTAGCCAAACCATGCCAAACCCAGACCACCCCAACCACCCCCTTGTTCCTAGTAGCTTCTTGCTACTAGTCCTACTGTAGTAGTGCCAGGAGCGCCCCTAATAGCGTCCTTGCTCCTAGTAGCGATGCCCTTTGTTACTAGTAGCTTCTTGTTTCTAATAGCTTCTT